AGGCAGCGCTGTGCGGGGGGGGCATCCACGCAGCAGGGACCCCCGTGTGCTTGGATGCTGTCACTGGCGGGGGTCCCACGGCACCCAGACCCCCGGATGGGGGGGGGGGGCTCCACGTCACAGCATCCCCACCGCAGTCCTCACATCCCTTGTGCTCTGCAGAGCCGGCGGGGGGGTGGGAGCGTCCACACCGTGCCCCTCCCCTACACCACGATGGGGGTGTCGGAGAACACCGAGCTGACCGAGTCTGGATCCGACACCTTCCTCTGCGCCCGGGGTCCCTCCCTCGGTGCCCCCCCCACCACCGCCGCCATCGGTGGGCTCCCCCCGGCTTTGTACCTCCCGTTCTGCCCCCCCGGGGCGGCGCGGTGCCCGGCGATGCGGGGCCTTGGGGGGGGCGGGGGCTCCCCGACGGCGTGGTTGGGGGTAGCGCTGAGCACGGAGGAGTTGAGGCTGTCGTCTCGGGGAGGGGCGGGCGGCTTTTCGGCGGCGCGGCAGCAGCAGCGGCACGGGGTGAGGTACAGATAGATGAGCACCAGCACCACGCTGAGGATGCAGCCCACCAGCGTGGTGTAGGCGGTGTTGAGGCCGTCGTGGGGGCCGTGCAGGGTGAAGTTGTGCACCAGCAGCTCCACGTAGAGCGTCTCGTTAAAAGCCGGACCCGACACGCGGCACGCGTACGTCCCGCCGTCCTCCGGCCTCAGCGCCCGCAGCTGCAGGCTGCCGTTGGCCAGCACGGCTGCGCTCCCGTTGCCGCCCTCCTCCGTCACCCTGTCCCCCCCCGGCGTCACCCAGTGGCGGCCGTGCGCCGCCCGCAGGCGGCTGTCGCAGCCCAACGTGACGCTGTCCCCCAGGTACGCCTCCAGCACGGCTTCTTTCGCCTCGCTGCAGTTGAGCAGCTCTCGGGAGCCCAATTCCAGAATGGCCACCGGCGCCCGGTTCGGCGCCGACGGCAGCTGGCACCGCAGCTCCTCCTGGAAGTCCATGACGGCGCTCAGCCGGCGGTGGCGGCCGCGGGCCAGCAGCTGGAAGAGCGGGCAGTCGCAGCCCAGCGGGTTGCCGTGCAGGTAGAGGCGGTCGCGCAGCCACGCGGGCAGCGCCTGCAGCTCGGCGGCCGGCAGCGAACGCAGGCGGTTGGAGGAGAGGTCGAGCAGGGAGAGCTGAGCCGGGCGGCTGCCATCGCGGAGCAGCTCCAGAGGGAAGCGGGCGATGTGGTTCCGCCCCAGGTAGAGCTTGCGGAGGCGGCTCAGGTTGTCGAAGGCGGAACGGTCGACGGCGGAGATCTCGTTGTTGTAGAGCAGCAGCACCTCCAGCTCGGGGAGGTCGCTGAAAAGGTTCTCCTCCAGCGCGCGGAGGCGGTTGGAGGACAGGTCCAGGTGGCGGAGGTGAGGGACGTGGGTGAAAGCCTCGGTGGAGACGAAAGCCAGGCCGTTGTGCGCCAGCAGCAGGGCGTGCAGGTGTGCCAGGCGGCCCGGCGCCCAGTCGGCACGCAGGCGGCTGATGTTGTTGTGGCTGAGGTCCAGCACGGCGGTGAAGCGCGGCAGCGGGGTGGGAACGGAGCTCAGAGCAGCCTGGGAGCAGCTGAGGATGTTGGAGGCGCAGACGCAGCGCGTGGGGCAGCTCCCGGCCGACGGCACCGCCAGCATCGCCAGCATCGCCAGCATCACCAGCACCGCGCCCGGCACCGCGCCCGGCACCGCCATGGCACCGGGGGTGGGGGGCTGGGAGGTGGGGTCACGGCGCGAGGCGACGCAGCATGGCACGGGGTCACAGCTTTGGCCACCCGATGTCACAGCTGGAAGAGCCTCGGTCACCGCAGTGTCACTGCTTGGAGGTGTCCTGCTCAGCCAGTGTCGCTGCCTTGGGTGGCTTGTGGTCAACCAGGGTCGCAGCGTGGAATGGCCTCGGTCACCCAATGTCACCGTGGTGGCTTTGATAAGCCAGTGTCACAGCATAGAATGGCCTCGGTCACCCAGTGTCACCGTGGTGGCTTTGATAAGCCAGTGTCACAGCATAGAATGGCTTCGGTCACCCAGTGTCACTGCCTGGGGTGGCTGTGGTCAATCAGTGTCACAGCGTGGAATGGCCTTGGTCACCCAATGTCACCGTGGTGGCTTTGATAACCCAGTATCACAGCATAGAATGGCCTTGGTCACCCAATGTCACCGTGGTGGCTTTGATAACCCAGTGTCACAGCATGGAATGGCCTCGGTCACCCAGTGTCACTGCGTTGGGTGGCTGTGGTCAATCAGTGTCACAGCCTGCCTGCCACCTGGTCAAGCAGTCGCAGCACAGAGCAGCTTTGCTCACCCAATGCCACTGGGGTGGCTTTGGTCACGCAGTGTCACAGCATGGAGGTGACAGCATGGAGGTGTCCTGCTCATCCAGTGTCACTGCCTGGGGTGGCTGTGGTCAATCAGTGTCACAGCCTGGCTGTCACCTGGTCAGGCAGTCGCAGCACAGAGCAGCTTTGCTCACCCAATGTCACCGTGGTGGCTTTGGTCGCACAGTGTCACAGCACGGAATGACCTCGGCCACCCAACGTCACGGCATCGGATGGCTCTGCTCACCCAGCAGCGCAGCCCGGGCCGCTTTCGGTCCCGCGGTGTCACGGCACCGGGTGGCTGCGGTCCATCGGCGTCACGGCGGCGCCGTCCCAGCCGGGCAGCGGCAGCTCGGAGCGGCTCCGCTCACCGCCGTCGCCACGCGGATCCCCCCGTTATCACCGCGCACTGCGGCCGTGCCGGTGCCGTTACACCGCGGGTCGGTTCCGTTCCTCCCTCCGCCGCTCCGGGCCCGGTACCGCCGCACCACGTGACCCAGCCCGGCCCCGCCCCCCCGCGGAGGATGCTTCACCCCCCCAACCTCCCCTCCCGCCCCCCCCCACCCCCACCCCTCCGTGTATTACCGGAGCCCGCGGCCGGGCCGAGGCGAAACGAACGGAGCGGAGCCGAACCGCGCCGGAATGAGCCGAGCCGAGCCGAGCCGAGCCGAGCCGAGCCGAGCCGAGCCGAGCGGCGCACCGCGCTGCAGCGCCCGCGCCCCGGGACGGCGCTCAGGGGGCGGAACCAGCGCGGCGACCCCCGCGCACGGCGCGTTCCCATTGGCTGCCGCCCCTCAGCCCGCAGCCAATCGCGGAGGCGTCCGCTTAACCCCTCGGAGCCCGGCCCGGCCCCGTCATCTCCATCCCATCCCATCCGCAGCTCCAGCCGCACCCCAATCCCCATCCCTGCCCCGTTTCCAACCCCGTCTCTATACTCATCCCGTCCCCATCCGCGTTCTGTCCCTGTCCCCGCTTCTGTCCCTATCCCATCTCAGTCTCTATCCCCGTTCCCACCTCCATCCCATCCCTATTCCCATCCCAGTATTCATCCCATCTCCATATATACCCCATCCCATCTCCATATGTACCCCATCCCATCTCCATATGTACCCCATCCCATCTCCATATGTACCCCATCCCCATCCCATCCCCTTTCCCATCTACCTCGCATCCCCATCCCTGCCCCCCATTCCCATCCCCATCCCTATATTCGTCCCATCTCCATCCACACCCCATCCCCATCCCTCTTCCAGTTCCTTTCTCTCTGATTTTGGACTTGAAATAAATAAATACCGCCATTTCTGTCCCCATCCCACCTCTATCCCCGTCCCCATTTCTATCCCTATCCCAACACCATCTCCATCCCTGCCCCCATCTTCACACCCGTCCCAATCCCCGTCCCTATTTCCATCCCCCTCCCTATATTCATCCCCATCTCCATCCCACCCCCCCAATCCCACACCACCTATGCTGAACCACCACCCCCAGCCATACTCCCCCCCCTCCCCCCCACACTGAGACCACCCCCCATCCCATAGAGCCACAGCAACCCCCATCCCACCCCCTCCCACCCCCTGTACCACCCCACACTTGGGGTCACCCCCACCCGGGGTCCCACCGAGGGGCACCCCTGGGTGCTGCTGTGGGTGATGGTGGATGGGGGGGGGGAGGAGGGGCCGCAGCCCCCGTGACGCGCAGTGCTGGCTCTGCCTCCCGGCTGTATTTTTAGATGCAAACATTTGTGCCACATTATTATTTTATTTCTTTCTTTTTTTTTTTTTTTTTTTGTGGGTCCAAAATTAGAGGGAAAGGAGCTGGAACAAACAGCGCCGTGATGAT